AGATGTAAAACATGTGGCAATAAAAAAACCTGCAAATTCAGGTTCAATGTTTTTCAATTATAAAAAGTTTCATAGTTTAGTTTTACTGGCTGCCTGTGATTCAAACTATTGCTTCACTATGGTTGATATCGGACAATATGGGATGACAAAGATTCATCATTTGGTATTGCATTTGAAATGATGGAGCCAATATATCTCAACCGAGAAATATTGATGGAACCAACATAATGATGCCGTATTTCCTGGTTGCAGATGATGCTTTTCCTTTAAAAAAATATATAATGGTCGTAACCTATCAGATAAAAAATTGATTTTCAATTTTCGACTGTCAAGAGTTCGAATCACTATTGAAAATGCTTTCGGAATTCTGGTTGCTCGTTGGCAAATATTAGATAATAGTGTCGATATAGTCAAGCTTGTGTAGTTCTTTACAATTAAAAAAAAACAGAATTACTGACAGGAAACAAACTATATGCACCACGTGAATTTACAGATAGAGAAAATTCAGAAGGTATTTTACTGCCTGGGAACTGGAGGGGTATATCAGATGAATTAAAATCAGTAGGCCGTCTATCTACAAACAATTCAGCAAAATACGCCCAAGAAATGAGAAATCAGTCAACAGATTACTTTCTCACTGAAACAGGGCAGCTGCCTAGACAATATACCCATATCCTAAGAGGTACGATTGAGACTCGTCATTGTGCGATTTACAAATTCTGTTTCTTTTACTATGTAAAGTATTACACTTTTCGGTTTCAATTGAGCTCTAATCTTTTAGTTATAATTCATTTTCAAATGATATTTCTATTACTTTGTCGAGAGAATATTTTACTTTGATCTTGAATAAAAAATTTAATTCTTTCAATTTTTTTTTACATTCCCATGAACAAAAAATATTGTATCTACTTCCTAGGTTGGTGGCAAGTAAATAAATAATACATGAGGAACTCAAATTCTTATTGTCACAAAATAATCAAAACAAAACTGCAGTACCTATCACAAAAAAAAAGAAAAAATTTAAAAATCATATAAAAATTTCAAACATATTCTATAAAAGGAAAACTTAAAATTTATCTATCACCAAAAACTTGAAATATTCCATATCCGGAAAAAGATAAAACAGCATAAGATACCAAAAATTGCGTATCATAGAAAATTTGTAACAAAAATTATTAGTTGAAAACCTAGTCAGAGACATTACATAAGGAGTCATTTATAAGTTGTGTAATTTTTGTTTTCAGTTCCGCCTTTATTTTTCTATTTGTAACGTCTTTCAAAGCTAAACCTACATAATCCCCAAAGGCTAAGTCTGAATACGTTTGTTTATTTGGCTGGGTAGTAATTGAATTAGTAATTTTTGTGACAGCTTCCACAATATCTTCTTCCCATTTTCTTTTTTTAATATTTGAATACGTGTTTTTGAAAGATTTGCGTGGTTTTACACTTTCGGAATTTGCTATCACTTCAACTTCTAACCGAGAGCCTTCATTTTCTTGTGCTTCACTAGCATGGGAATCAACAATAATGGGGAGTGGATCCCGAGTTGTTTCGTCGTTTTTAATTGCACTTCTGCTACTCGATGCACAGCTTATCTGCGAACTACTGCCTGTATTGGGTACATTACTTTCGGTCCTACAAAAAAATCACCTTTAAAATTACAATTCCGATCAGTATATAATATACATAAACATTCTTCTGGGTTGTATGTGGTCGTCCAAAAATAACATTGCCCTGAATAAAGGCCATTATCTCCTATCAGTTGCTTCGGTAACAGACTTTCCGTACTGAGCCACTTTTTTTCTTTGGTATATCTGTCTCTTAAAAAACTTTATATCGCCTTTGACATTGCTCCTCTGGTAGCCCTGCTTTTTTGGCAATCACCTGTCATGCCTTCTCCTTCATTAATTTATTTTTAAAATTGTTATCTTTTCTATCATAAAGTATGGGGTATTGTTCTATTAATGATATAAAATATGCGTCTTTCATAATATTATAGAAATGAAATGAAGATATGAATGATTGCTGCTGTCAAGATTATGGAAATGGAATGTCAATATTTGTTTATGCATTCCTGCCAATCCAAAAAATAACCAGAACCTATAATAATTATGGCATTTCTTCATACTTTACTTTTTCGTGAACGTCAAAAAATAGATACTCACCTTACCTCTCTGAATTACCTTACCTTGCATTATTATAAACTAGGGGTTACACTCAAATGGTCTCGGTAGTTTGTAGCAGTATTGACTGATTGATAATGTCAAATGCTTTCGACAAATCAATAAATACATCCAGTGACGGTTGACCCCCATCAAGTACTTCACAAAAATATATTATTATTCAGTTAGATGTTACATGGCATCTTGAGTCGATTTTGCTCCTTGGAATACAGACTGGAATCTTGAAAGGGTTTTGTGTTTTGTAAGAAACGGGTTCAGTCTGATATTAATTAACGATAATTTTGCAGAGTTGCAATAAGAAAGAAACACTGGCCGATAATTGATTGTCTCAGTGTTACAACCATTAGTATAAATTGTTGTGACTATTGACAACTTCAAACATGATGGAAAACATCCTGTCCCAATAGCCTGAGATTTTCACTAGACAGTTTATACAACTATATGAAAACAGTTTGAAAACTTCAAGACAGGCCTATTTCCGTGTTGCTGAATTCATGGCAGATAAATATCCATATTCAGTAACTGTAGTTGAGTAGCCATTCACGCTATCCTCATCTTCATCAAATTTATTGATGTTGATATCCCCAACGATTATGTTGTAGGTATATTTTAAATATTTTCGTTTCATTTTTAAGGTACATCTGTGAATTTTTAATAAAAGCATCACTACAATTTAATGGTATCGTCGTTTTGGTTTAAATCACCTTCGTTGTATATAATTATGCACCAGAGATATAAAAAAACTACAATCGGGGATTTTCCTTCTCTGTGAAAATTAAATAATTGAAATCAATGCTTTAAATATGATGTCGATTATTTCATGGGAATCATAAACTTTTTGAATACTGAGCTGTTTCAAGATTCGCTCAGTTAGATACTGTCATGAAATATCTTCAGGCGGGAAAATTGAAAATTCACTGTAGAATGTAAAATTTTTTGTTAATGAACTTTCACTAATTTACCGCTATTGTTGCCGTTGTTCCCTGATCGTTATTGAATACAACTTCGATTACAAACAAACTGAATCAGTTTTTATTTTAAATTCAAATAAAAAGTCAATTCATTTCTTTGAAACTTATTTAGTTTCTCACATATAGTCAGTGGGCATACTTGAAGACTGGCTATAAATCAAATCATCTGAAAGAACATTTCGTTCAGGCCAGTCTCAACTCCCTACACTATAGGTTAATGGACTGACACTTATCAGAAAACAACTACTCCCCTGGCTAATACCACAAAGGGCGTTGGATTATATCCGACAGGTGTCAGTGCAGGATTCTTCACTGAAGTTATTACTGCATATGCTGTTGGCGATACAACTGCCGCAATAGATTTTCAATTATTGGAACACACTTGCAGACCGGTTTCGAAATGATTGGCCACTCGTGTAGGGAGTGTAAGGAGTCGAGACTGGCCTGACCGAATTGTTCTTTTAGTTGATTTTATTTCAACTTGATACAACACAATAAATAGGTTGACAAATAATACAATTAGGTTGATCAATTAGCATCTTCAAAAAAGAATAACTTTTCAATGTTGCAATATGATTGATGTCGGTCATGACGACTTTTCTTACGACGATGCCCATTTATGTGATCGATAGAATACTCAAACCCTTTATATCAAAATAAAGTCCTAATAGAGATCTGTTGTAAATTCGTCGAATGAGAAATTGCTTTCTGTCTCTCTCTCTGTAGCTTCCACTACAGAGATTAGCAGACATATTTAAACCAGAACGACGGTACCCTCAAATTGTATGGATGCTTTTATTCAAAATTCATAGATGTACTCTAAAAATCAAACGAAAATAATTCAAATATAGAACATAAGCGTTAGAGATATCAACATCAATAAACTTTAGGAAGATGATGATAGCGTGAGTGAAATTTATTGATCTCAAATGTAAACTTTCTTCACGCAGTTGACATGAAATAACTCTTTTTTTCAGAAGCCAAAAGTGAAAAATAAAATGACGAGAAGGAGAATTTTCAGGGATGTTATCGGGATGTTAATGACAATTCAATTTAGTAAATTATGTATCATAGTAAATCCAATATGGACGCAGCTCCAAAATGGCGGATTACATATTTTTACATAACTACCTCAATACGGGTATCAAATGCCTGAGCTTGACTAGTAGAATAATATTTCACTTTGTAAAAAGCTGCAAGATTAAGATGACCGCAGCTATAAAATGAAGGACTACACATTATTTCACAACTACCTCAATATGGGTATCAAATGACAGGTTTGACTAGTACTATAGTAGTACACTATGAAAAAGGTTGTCAACTCAGAATCGGGGTACAAGCATGGATCTCCTACCCAAGTCAAGATTTTGTATCGTGTCGTGGATTTTGTGGCGTTAGGGTAGCGCGTCGTTAGCGATACACCACCCAAGTTAAGTTAAAAGGTTGAAACATGCCAAGAACACAGTTCTCGGCATGTAGTAAAAAAAAGTGTATATAGATAATGTACAAAAAACCGAATTATAATTCAGAAGCTCCTAGGTAGCAGTTATCACACCACTCGCTTAAGCAATATACGGTTCTGATCAGATATTTTCAGATGATAATAATCTTTAGATTGCGCCTCATACATGATGTACTCGGAGAACAGAATAAATTACTGGTACTCGGAGAACTATGAAATAAACTGAAAAAATACAACAATATAGTTTTTTCAAATCATGTCTCAATTGACAAATAATATATGAACAACCATGACTTTTTCTACAATTTACTGCAAGTGCTTAAACAAAGGAGACAGCTCGTCTCTCGAAAATTCAGCTATTCAAATATTTCAACTCAATTATAGGTGCATCGAATCAGATATGGCAGTGTAGCTTACAATGATGGCGGTTTGAAACGAGGAGATAAAATAATATCTGTTAACGGAAACCCAACCAAAGGACTGACACATTCAGAGGCAGTTGAATTGTTGAAGGTAAGACGTTTTCCGACGGCACCTTCTAAATTGAGCAATAACTTTTTTGAATTTTTAGGAACCTGTTACCGAGTTTTCTATAGTAATTGAGGAAGGAACTGAAGTCGTGCCATCAACTCCAATCAGTAGTACTCTGCAGAAGAGGTCCTTATCAATGTCAGTCCTAAATGACATCAAAAGTAAGTTGCTGCCATTATTGTCTGAAATGAAAATGACATATCCAGTATACTTTTCCATGTACTGTTATCTGTCATGCTTCTTACCGATGAATATTTTGGCTTCATCTTCGAAAACATGTTTGTCTATTAGTAACATCATCTTCAAACTGTATCATCACGTTGAAAAATTGAGGAAGCTCATAAATATCATTAAAGTATAACTGCAAATTTTTTAGGGCCATTCAGTATCAAACTTATCAATTTGGAAATATTTCATTCCTTTCTTTCGGGATTGTTGATCTTTGGTTATTTGAATAATAATTTCCCATTTTGTTATTACGTGTAGTGTGTGGTTAGCATTTTCAGGGGTCACCGTAACTGTTGAAGCTACGAAGAAACTGGGTTTCCTTCCTCTAAGATAATACCCATGTCCCGGTTATAGGCACGCTTTCGTTTCTGAAAAAGTGAAGTTATACAAGTAGATGATGCTGCACTATTCAAAATTTTTCATCCAACAGATCGAGAATAAAATACTAGATATTCAGGTAGCTCAATTGGACTATCCGAACCTCAACTGCAACTCGCGAGGATTAATTGTGGCTCACACCTATCCAAACTTGACCAAATAAATCCAGCTCTGAACGAAGTCGACTCATTTTATGTGGTGAATGATAGTTCAGGTTACGTGACGAGAGTGGGACGCGGGAGAGTGGGTAGCTAAACAAGACAAATGTGCGGCTTGGAAAGTAGATCACCTGTGACGCTTTTCATGGTTGCGGAAGACCAACAGCATCCACCAGTCAGGAGACGCTCTCCCTTTCTCTCGTTCTAATCATTCATATATAAAGATTCGTTCGAATCCAACTATACGATTTTGTATTTTCACGAATGTCGACTTCTGAGGGTTATCGTTCGTAAGGGGGCGTGAGCTGGTTGATGGATAAATAGATTTTGAACAGATCATAGTTGCAAATGATATTTGGGTCTCCATTCAGGCGGAAAGCTCCAAGTAAGTTAACAATATTCAAAAGGTATAATTTGAACTTCGCATTATAGCAAGGGAGATCACTTCGATCACTGTCACTTCCCCTTTGGATTGCCGCAGTTGCAGACGAAACGTTAGGCCTGAAAACTTACGGATTAGAGTGGATGAATCCGAAAGTAACTAGTAATTTGCTTCATAAATATACTGTTTTGAGTATTATGGATCGATAATTCACGGCAGATGTATTTTCTTCATCACATACCGGATATGGTATATTTGGCTACGTATTATAAAATAATAGAAATTGTGTATCAAACTGAAACGCTTCGTTGTTTCTTCGTCATTTCTTCTTGGCGTTTCGCCAGTACGAGTGGCTGGTATCCTTGTCCGTGTTATCGGTTCAACTGGCGTGCTCGTTAAGTATGGATATATTCACATGAGTGGCTGAAGAAATTGTTATGTTTGTACATTTCGATAACCTCTAGAACTAGCCAGTTGTATTAGCTTGATGAATGGATAAAAAGGAGGGTCTTTGAAGTGTATCATGTGGTCTTTAGTGCCCAGTGCGTTCTCTGGCTCGGCTTATGTTTTCGTGTGTGCCAGTCTACAGTTTTTTTTCCTCAATAGCTCTCGATCTAATCAAACGCTTGGTTGTGCCAATATATACTTAATATGAAATGCGGTAAACCCCTGGATTATATATGGGTTATCTTCTGTCCTTTGTCGACCTCAAACAACGCTGAATTTTCGATGGGCTCATATATCCTGATAGTGTTTTCCAAGGAGTCGGCCAAACATGTATGTTACTTTTGGAATAAAGGATAGAAATGCCTTTGTCGTTGCGTCCTGCTTTAGCCTGCTTTCGGGGTTGATTTTTGTCGCGTTCTAGATGTTTCATTAGCAAGAAAATAATTTTGAGGTGTTTTTGCTCTCATTTTAGATGTTGTGGGGCGCAGATCATTTCCGCTCGTTTCAACGATGTTGGTGTTATTTCCCATCATGAATTATATACCTGAGTGTCAACTGTTCAGATATACCAGGATGTCATTCGGACTTCCCTGTCGTGCAAACTGGGGAACGCGGAAAAATCATAAGAGATGCTTTAATGACACCAATTTCTTGTCCACTCGGTAGGCCTTCACAACCGGATAGTTCTTGAGGCACTTGAAATCTACAAACATGGCAACACTTTCAACCGGAATTAAGGAACAATGAAAATCAACAAAATTTGGACACCAGCTTTACAAGAAATCAGTACGGCGAGATTGCACAGACCATCTGAGCAGATCATACCGGTCGAACAACCCGTGCGTAATTTGTCAAGAGTGACTCCACCTGGACAAAATATAACAACCTACGTCAACGAGCGCGTCATTGAACATAGTCTTGGAAACGAAAACATGGTTCTTTAAAGATGCCAGTCACTCGCGCTGGGGAAACGTCAACAGTCGACGGCTTAAAAATCCGGTGGAGGGTAGTTCGTTAATTTTGAGAAATTCGTATGTGAAATTAAATAATTTGATATTTTTCGGTTGGCAACGCTGCCTGGACTGTCGGATGTATTACTGTCAAGCACTCTGTTGTGCACATTTTCAAAACTCATAGGTTTAGGGACCAGAACAAAACTAATGTAACCATTTTTCAATATAGTACTCTTCTTAAAATTTGAAATATGGTCGTAATCCAAGTAATTCAAGAATTGTGCACATAATGTAGAAGAGGGTTCAGATTATGAATAACTCAATCCGTCCTTTCATTTTGAACATGATTTATTCATTATCGACTTTCAAAATTTGAAGTCAGTGATATTTGACCATATTCTCATTTGACCCATTCAAATGTCATTACTCAATCAAAACCTATAGGCAGAGTCAGTTTGATTAGCCTAATTATTATTATTTTCCACTATTTCAAGCACTATCCGTTGAATGTATTGAAAAGACAGCCAACCATACGATATCTTTAACAAAGGATGGATCTGGATTGGGATTCAGTATTGAAGGAGGAAAAGATTCACCTCTAGGAGACGTGCCATTGGTTGTAAAGAAAATATTCACAGGTAAGATGATTCATGGATGATACCTCTTAAGATTTGCTATATGAAACCAACTTGCACTTGAATAAAAGTACCTAATATGAACCACTAGCTGACCTGGCGAACTTTGTACCGAATTCTTAACTATGTTATTAATCGAGTTATATTAACTTCTTCATATTGTGTCTGTGAAGTACGAAGTCGGCCTATACTAACACAGCCAGTGTTGCCAGGTCATTTTCATGTTTAACAGTAAATTTTGTGTCAGAAAAACAATAGATTGATACAAATACAGTAGAAAATATATTTTATAAATATATACCACATACATGTTTACAGTCATTCAATACTTGTTACATGAAGTAAACTGTGTGATCAGTAGATCTTAACTTCCAAATAGAACAGTTGTTAGAAACCCAAAACAGGAGATCTACTGCAAATATGGCAACACTGAACACAGTGCTTCTCCCGTGCGATTTCTTCTTCATCTGCAGTGAATTGATTCACAATATTCTGCAGTCTAATTTCCGATCGTAAACATATCCAAAAAATCAAAAATTATAAAAGTTGGTCCAGCCGTTCTTGAGTGAGTTCAATTTTTTTTTTTTTCAACCGTAGTTTGCGCTGGTCAGGCCCTATCCCCCAAAGCCCCGATACATTCGAGAGGGCGCGCCAGCATTATCAACCAATGACCCTTCCCCACACCGTGGGGTAAGTGATCATTGGGTCCGAGAATCATGTGCCCTGAGCAAGTGCAGGGGCGAGTATCAAATGAAATATTGACAGTTGTTGATTTTTCACCGCCAAAAATTTTGAAAGATTTGCAACATTTATTCTTGAATTTTTTCTATGACATGGAAAATAAAAATTCATGCCGAT